GTTTAGGGTTTAGGGTTTAGGGTTTAGGGTTTAGGGTTTAAGGTTTAGGGTTTAGGGTTTGGGGTTTAGGGTTTCGTAGTAGCACTTATGACAATAAGCGCTGCAGCTTTCTGTTCGTTTCCCTCAGTCGCTTTTTCCTTCCCAGGGTCTAGCTAGGGTTTAGAGTTTAGGGTTTAGGGTTTAGGGTTTAGGGTTTCCCGACATCCCCCAAACCCTAGGTGCCCATTCTCTCTGCAGCGCTGCAGCTGCCTCCGTGCCCCTAGCCCAAACCCCATGCCGTAGGCCTAAACCCTAAACCCTAAACCCTAATTCGTGGTTTAGGCCCCCCGGTGGTTTGCTGCAGGCGGGAGGAAACCCCAGCGGACTCGGGGCACCAAACCCTCGTGGGTTTGCTGCGGGGTTTGCCATTAGGGTTTAATTTGGAGTTAATTGAGAAAATAAAAAAAACAAAAAAAGAAGAAATAAATGCTGCAGCAAGAAAGTACTTTTTGCTGCTGCTGCGCTGCTTCGGAGCAGCAGCAGACAAACAAGCTGCAGCAGCACTCGCTGCAGCAGCAGACAAACCAGCTGCAGCAGCAAACGCTGCAGCAGCAGACAAACCAGCTGCAGCAGCAAACGCTGCAGCAGCAGACAAACAAGGTGCAGCAGCAAATGCTGCAGCAGCAGACAAACAAGCTGCAACAGCAAATGCTGCAGCAGCAAACCTCCTCGCCAAACCCCCGCGCAGCTCCCTCTGCGTCGTCACCAACAAAGACAAGGCAAACCCTAAACCCTAAACCCTAAACCCTAAACCCTAAAGGCTCTTTCCCCTGTGTTCCCGCCAGCCCCCCAACCCTAAGTTTGCCCCCCCTCTCTGCAGCGCTGCAGCCTCCTGTGCCCCCGAAACCCTAAACCCTAAACCCTAAACCCTAAACCCTAATTTGTGGTTTAGGTCCCCGCGGTGGTTGCTGGCCTGCGCGAGCTGGACATTGAGTGCACAGTGATGAGCTCTGCGGCTCTTTTCAAATTCCTCGAGGCCGAGAATAACATTGACTTGCCAGCTAGCCAACAGCTAGCTAGCCAGCAGCTAGCTAGCCAGCAGCTAGCTGGGCAGAAGCAGCTAGCTGGGCAGAAGCAGCCAGCTGGGCAGCAGCAGCTAGCTGAGCAGCAGCAGCTAGCGGGGCAGCAGCAGCCAGCTAGCCAGCAGCTAGCTAGCCAACAGCTAGCTAGCCAGCAGCTAGCTAGCCAACAGCTAGCTAGCCAAGAAGACAGCGAAAGCGACTCCGAGGAAGACAGCGAAGAGGAAATGGACAGCGAAGACGAAGACGAAGAAGACGAAGAGTCCATGGAAGAAGACTAAACAGCTAGCTAGCTAGCTAGCTGGCTAGCTAGCTAGCTAGCTAGCTAGCCAGATAGATAGACAGCTAGCTGGCTAGCTAGCTGCGTAGCTAGCTAGCTAGCTAGATAGATAGATAGATAGACAGCTAGCTGGCTATCTAGCTAGCTAGCTAGCTAGCTATCCAGCTAGCTAGATAGCAGGCCAGCTAGCTATCCAGCTAGCCAACTAGCTATCTAGCTAAGCAGCCAGCTAGCTAGCTAGCTAGCCAGCTAGCTAGCTAGCTGGCTGGCTAGCTATGTAGCTAGACAACTGGCGAGATGTGCAGCTAGTTGGCTAGCTAGCCAGCTAGCTGTGCAGCTAGCTAGCTAGCTGTGCAGCTAGCTAGCTAGCTGCTCGAGTTTGTCGGGCCGGAGGTTTGCCCGCCGTTGTTGCTGCAGAGGTTACGATGAGCTGGTTGTAAACCCTAAACCCTAAACCCTAAACCCTAGCTTACAAGGAGATGCATTGGGAAACGCGTAAGTATGCAGCTAGTTGGCTAGCTGGCCAGCTAGATAGGTAGCTAGCCAGCTAGCTAGCCAGCTAGCTGGCCAGCTAGCTAGCCAGCTAGCTAGCCAGCTAGCTGGCCAGCTAGCTAGCTCGCAACTGCAACAAACCAAAACTAATTTCTGCATCGTTTTTACAATACAAGAACAGCAGCAGCAGCAGCTGCTGCTGCTGCTTGGTCTGCTGCTGCTGCTGCTGCTGGCTGGCC